GCAGAGGAAGTAGTAGAAGCTGCCATCGTTCCAACAGGGCCTGATATCAAAGTCTAGTAACAAGGTTCCTTGTTTGTCCACAGGAAAGGAACATTCATATTGATGTGCGTTTACCACCTGTGTTTGCTTGTTATTCAACACCCACTGGATAAAACCTGCATTGGAGCAGTCACAGGTGAATGGGTTAATGCTCAGTTCCAGGTATGTTAGAGATGGGAGAGAATCAAAGACGGTCTCATTAATCACGTTGATCTCGTTATCAGTCAGTTTCAGATATCTGAGAGCAGAAAGATTGGCCTGCACAAGAAAATCCAAAGACTTGAGGTAAGACCCTGAAAGATCAAGAATCTGCAGGCCTGGGATGGTTAGAAACAGCTCAGGTTTCAAATCRGATAAATCAGTGCTGGCTAATGTCAGACTCTTGAGCTGGGAGTTGAACATAAATGTATAAACATCTGGAGCATTAACATAAACATTCACAGCTTTAAAATTTTCCAGTTTTTTCATAGCTTGAAGCATTTCCATTGGTACATCCAGAGGGAACCCAAAGTGATGTCCACTGCAAACTACTGTGAATTTTTTCAAATATTTCAAGTTGGTGTAGGCTTCATAACTGTTTAACTGAGGGTTTTTGTGAGTGCCATCAGTATTTAGGTAGATTGTAAGATTTTGTAAGTGCTTTATTTCACTGAAGTCAGGTTCATATTCGAGTGGAAGGGATACGCTCAGATCTTCCAAGTTGTTTAGTCCTCGAAATGTTTTTTTCATCACCCTTCCAATAAAATTCGATGCAACATTTAATTGCTTCAGGGACCGCAAGCCTCTAAAATCCCCTTTTTTTAGAATCACTATGGAGTTGTGCCCTAAATCTAAAACTTCTAACCTCTGAAGTGTAACTTTGAAGGTGTCTCCGAATGTCAGCATTAGATTGTTACTCAGATCTAAAAGCTTTAGTTTGGTAAGGCTTTCAAGCACACACTTTTCCAGTTTGAGAATAYGGTTACTGCTCAGGTGAAGCTCTGTAAGCTGTGTTGTGTTGACAAAATCCTCACAGGTCATCTCAGAGATAAGATTGTTTTTCATAGTCAAGAAATGAAGGAAGGTGAGGCTCCTTATGTCAGGTGGAACTTTGGTCAGACAGTTGCTATTCACATTCAGGGAGTTTAGTTTTGTCATCCGTTGTAATGAACCTTTGGGCAGCTCATGTATGTACGTTTCTTCAAGATTAAGTTCCTTCAACTCAGAACAATGTGTAAGATTCACAGTCAAATTGGTAAAATGGTTATAAAATAAGTCCAGCTTCCTTAGAGTTGGTATGTTACAAACTGTAGACAGCAATCCCCTCTTAATCCAATTTTCCATGTAATTCAGCCTAAGATGTATCAGTGAGTCGAGACTCCGCAGGACTGTTTGAATCCCTTCAAATGACAACACGGCTTGATAAAGATACAGATGTGTGATGTTCCTCAGTAAGGTCCTGTCAGGTATGTCCCATGTTATGGTTGTATGATATCTAGTTTGGGAAAAGTCTAATGTCTTGAGGGAAGGAAATATTGGTGTAGTGATGCTGAACCGGTTCAGGGTAGGACCAGAAACAGTCAACTCTTTAAGACTGGAAGGATTAGGCAGAAGATCTTTGGTCTCGAAGGAATAAAATTGATTGTAAAATAGATTAAGCCTCTGTATTTGTGGCAGCTGTAGGATGGGTTGGATGTCAGTAACTTTTCCGAGCATATTATTTCCTAAATTTAGAATTTGTAGGCTGATCAGAAACTGAAGGGCTGAGGGCTGAATGACCTTAATCTTGTTTTCATTTAGATCCAGCATGGTAAGGTTGGACAGACCCTGAAACATGTCGCCAGACAAGGAGGTGAGGTTGTTTTCTGACAATAAAAGCGTTTTTAATGAAACCAAATCAGTGAAGGCTCCATTGTCCACAAAAGCAATACAATTGAAACTCAAATCCAGATCTCTAAGCTTTGACATGCCACGAAAATCCTTTTTGTTAACTTTTGGAACTGCATTGTTGTAAATTTGTAGTGAAACAGCATCTCTTGGGAGGTCATCAGGAACCATCACAAGTTTCCTGTTTGCACAATTCAAAGAAACATCAGCAA